AACAGAGACCTTGCTAAGGGGTACCCGCCGAGGGGGTTGAGCCGTTCCTTCCCACATGCAGGACGTGACTAGCAGTGCATGATCTAATCGCACGTGTTGCAGGGGAACTGGGCGTGCTGCTGCGCTGACCCCAAGTGGAACAACTTCTTCTTGAGCCTGTCCAGCTGTGCAGCGGCTGGCCCCTTCCTCCCCGAGCTGCAGGCATTGCAGCAGAGCTGCTTGCTCAGCACACACCACAGAACCCTGTGCTGCAGGTGCTCCTGGCTCTCGGCTCCACAAGGAGCTCAGTGCCTGACAGCTCCCTTCCAGAGCAGCGCTGGGGCTGTTGACTTAGCCCTTATGGAGTAAAACTCTGGCTGAGTTAATGCCTAAGTTGAGGCGCACAGGATTTAACCCGGTGGCTTCAGTAAGAGAGCAAAGACTTGGGATTTGGACTCCTAAGCCCTGCTGTAAAACAGTCCAGCATTTGTGAGGAGTCTTGTTCTCTGAGGAACAAGGGACAATTGTGCTGTGGGGCTGCAAGCCAGCGTCAGCAGCCCCCGCCTCTTGCAAGCACAAATGATACCAGCCCAAGCACTTCCTTCTGTGCTGTCCTGAAGATGGGAAAGCTCCAGGCTTTGGGTTTCCCTCTGAACATACCACGCCTTAGCAAAACCAGTTCCCTTTATGTCTTTGGGGTTGGTATTGCGATGTGTGTGCTCTGCCCCGTAGGAGCCTTTGCAGGGCTTGTTTGCTTAAAAGAAAGAAGAAAGAAGGAAAACAATAGCTAAATACCAAGAAAACCCTGGATGACGCACAGGGGTTGAATGAAGTACAGATGTTCTGTCACCTATATTGTCTGCTTGAAATGCATAGGGAAAAATCACCACACTCCGTAGAATGAAATTGGTCACACGAGGAGCAGATGGGAGCACGTGCACTACGATGTTTTTAGGTGGATACCCCACGAGGGGAGACACTTGTCCAGTGTTCTTCTTCATGAACACTTGGAACCTATAAGCAAAATCGGGGGGGGAGGGGGGGTGTGTGTGTTAGTTTGGATTTGGAGAAGGAGAGGAACAGTCCCTGCCCAATGACACAGCAAAGAGAGGCAGGAACTTGGAGCAAATAAGCCAAACCTGCAGTTGTTCCTCAGGTCTGGGTGCAGAGCCAGTTCCCCACAACCGTAACACACCTTTAGCTCCTGAACTGTTTCCCTAGCCATGGAAGGGACAGCTTTATTGGGATACAGGGACTGTATCTGTCCTGTTCACCCTCATCCCTTCAGAACCAGCCAGGGCAGCACAGGAGCCCCGGACCCATGGTGGCTGAGCCTGCCTCCCCACTGCCGTGTCCTGTCTGTGTAGACCCGATGCCAGTGGAGGAAGCGAGCCACGGATCCAGCCTGGCACATGTAGCACACTGGAGAAGTACTGGAATCTAAACCCAAGGGGTCTGTGAGGGCTTTGTGTTTGCAGTCGGGTTGGAGGTGGAGGTCTGCCTCTTGGAGTTTCACATCCACACAGGCACCCAAGGGCAAAGGGGGCATTTTTCTCCAGTGGGATGCAGGTGGCTGCTTGCAAGCCCAGCATGGGGTTTTCAGGAAGGAGTGCTGAACTGAAACCTGCTCTCATGGACGTAGCGTAGCCTTGTTTCACAGCATCCTTAACCATCTTTCTGTGCCCTCTTGTTATGCGGGTCTTTAACCACCTTTCTGTGCCCTCTTGTTACGCGGGTCTTTAACCACCCCATTAGCAGGGGGCAGCGGTAATTTGGGAGCACACCACGTCCAGAGAGGGCTGTCTACCTGCCTGTCTGCCCCTGTGTACAATTCCTTTGCACTCAGAGGCTGTCTCAAAGCAAACCCACAGACTCTCCACCAGGACCCAGCGCAAGCGGGGTCGCAGCAAAGGGTTTGGTGCCCTTCTGCCCGGGGCTGCTTCCTCCTCGCTGCCGCTGCCATGGCTGCAGCCCAGAGCCGGCCTCCTCCTCCTCCTCCTCCTCCTCCTCCGGGTGCGGGAGTTCAGCGAGCCTGGGAAAGAGGGAGGGAGCAGCAGAGCCCACTTGGCTCTTCCCAGCTCTTCCCTCCCTCCTTCCCTTCCATCTCCTTGTAATGATCCAATTGCGGGTGTCCGGCAGATTAGAGGCAGGGGCTCGGGGAAGGGGAGCCGGTGGCGGGGGGAGCAGGAGGAGCTCTGCAC